CCAGTAGGTTTCCTCACTGCAGGCTGAGCTCCTCCCCTGTCCTGGGCACCCTGCCTTCTCTCTGCACCGTCCTGGATGCCCCACCATGGAGCCCACAGGACCCCACCACACACTTCCCCATTTGGAACACCGTCCTTCCCTCCGCCAGGCTTCCTGGGGCCCCGAATTGGATGGTCCGGGTGTCCTCTGTTGTTCATCTAAACAGGTGGCCTGATCCCTTGGTCCCAGCCTGTGGCCTGCTCAGACCCTGCCACGATTGGCCCTGCAGATTCCAAAGGGATGTGGAGACTTCAGTTCCCCTCTCCCAGAGCCGGAGGTTCCCTGGCTGCCCAGGAGGGGGCTGGAGTCCTGAGGGCTTGCCCCCGCCCCAACCACAGTCGGGCTGGCATTTCCTGCCACCTCGTCTGCCTCCCCCGCCTGCCAGGCAGAGGCCGGAAGGGAGTTGGTGGGGGTTCCCCAGGCTTCCTGCTCTGGGGTCCAGGCAGCAGAGGCATCCTGGCACTGGTGAGCGTTCTGGAGGGAACTGTGCAGCTTAGGAATTTTGGTCAACAGGGACGTCCTTTCCCACTTCCAGCAGACCCTCTGGGATGTGAGTGTCCTTGGGGTCCTGAGTGGTGCCTGCATACACCCGTGGTGGGAATTCACCATCTCGGGGGGCAGCCTGTGCCATTACTAGGCAGCAGTCAAGACAAAGAACATTCCTTAATTCAAGTTGCTAAACCTGCCGCTTAGCCCCCGATACTCAGGATCTGCCATGTGAGGGCCCAGGGAGCTGCTCTGTGCCTGCCCTGGGTGCTGGGCATTCCAGGGCATTCATCTCTGGTACATGGCTTTTGTTCCCAGCCTCCAGGTATCTGCACTTTAGAGTCAGTTTTGTGCCAAGGGGGCGATCGCTCCACCACTTCCTCTGTGCAGGATAAAACTCTAGTAGCTGTGTGAGGCGCCTTGGCCCATGTAGGGCTGCTGGGCACTGCCCCTGCCAGGATCAGGGCCTGCTTTCTTCTCTTCCATTTAGCCCTGGAGGTCCCTGTGGGCTTCCTGAGTCCTCCTTGCTTGGAGTTCGGAGTCACACTGATTGCCTGTGGTCCTTAAGGGGGCACGGTGGGTGTGAGGGGTGTGAGGCTGTGCGATTGTGGGGCCCTGTGCGGCTCAGGTTCTGTGGTTCCCGGATCCCGCCATTCAGTTTTGCGACTCAGGCCCCTCTGCCACTCCCTTGAGCGGGGAGGGTTGTGTGTCTGCTGGCTCCCAGGTTGGGTCTGGGTGTCTGATGCTGTCCCTGTGTTGTGGGGGTGCGCCTGGAGGGTCACGGAAGCCAGTGGAGACCAGCTGGTGACAAGCACCCCTGCAAGTCCAAAGTAGGATTTTTTTTTTTTTTTTTTTTGGAGATGGAATTTTGCTTTCGTTGCCCAGGCTGGAGTGTGATGGTGTGATCTTGGCTCACCGCAACCTCCGCTTCCCAAGTTCAAGCTGTTCTCCTGCCTCAGCCTCCCAAGTAGCTGGGATTACAAGCATGTGCCACCATGCCCGGCTAATTTTTGTATTTTTAGTAGAGACGGGATTTTGCCATGTTGGCCAGGCTGGTCTGGGACTCCTGATCTCTGGTGATCCACCCGCCTCAGCCTCCCAAAGTGGTGGGATTACAGGTGTGAGCTATCGCGCCGGCCCCAAAGTAGGATGTTTTAAGAATAACGCCTGTGGGAGCCACCACTTATCAGGGGTGGTGATGGATAGATGGCCTGGAAGAGACAGAGCCCGCACGTACATGCACAGGGCGCTTCACTGCGAGTAGAGGATGTCGAGGCATTTTTTGCCTCTTCTTTTTAAATATTCTCTTCCTGACCAAAAAGCATCTCTCTCCAGAGGATTCCAGAAAACACACCCAGCCTATTGTCACTCAGGCTCTGGGAAGGTGTCTGCTGTGGACAGAGTCTGTGTAAACAGGAAGGGCTGGGAACGGGGCCCAGGGGCAGCTGGCTTAAATAATTCAGCTCCTGAGGTGGCCTGGAAGGCTGTCCCAGAAACCCTCCAGTCCCCTCCTCCAATTCAGAGTCCCCCTGACTCCCCAGTCTTCCCAGATTACATCTGGAGCAGGGGGTGGGGTGGAGAAGCTGAAAGAATCCAGGAGTGACTTCTCCCATGGCCTTAAAATTCCCATCTTCTTCCCAGAGACCAGGAAGAAAGGTGGGCGGCCTCCCCAGGGGTGCCTGGGGCCTCAGGTCGGGCCACTCCAAGGCCCGGCTTCTGAATGCAGTGCTGAAGTTTGGGCTCCCTGCATGGCCTGGCCTCCTCCCAGGGTTGCCCGGTGGAGATGCCTGCAAAGCTGATTTGTGCACAGTCGTGCTTTCTTGTCCCTTCTGCCTTGAAGTCAGCATAGTGCTTCCCTGGATTGACCTGGATAAGGAGGGCCCAGACTGGGTCCAGGCTCAGCCTGTGTGGACTTGGGGCCGAGCAGAACTCACTGCTGAGTAGATGTGCCTGTCTGCATTTCACAGATGAGGAAACTGAGGCTTGGTAAAGGAAGAAGCTGACTCAGGTTTCCTCTGGCAGGGGTCAGCTGAAGGTGGGTGAGGCAGGGCTGTGATGAGGCAGCCGTGTGGCATTCCCAGGGTCCCCACAGTGCCCTGGTGGGCATGGTAGTGGTTGCCTGGCCTAGAGGCAGCTGCAGGTTTCTGGGAGTGTGCCTTTGAGGCAGTTCTCATCTCACACCTTCTCCATGCCTCAGTTTCCCTGTCTGTCACAGGCCGGTGGTGGTAGCTTCTCTGAGAGTTGTGGGAATCAGTAACATCAGGTTATGCAGATATTTCATAGACTTATGTGAGCAACCTGATTTTGTGTTTGTCTGTCTCAGACACACTCTTTTGCCTGCCTTCTCTTGTCAGTCCCTAGCTGTTCTCTCTCTGGCCTTCTGCACCTGGGGATTCTGGATGTGGAGACTTCTGGGCTGCACATGTTTGACATCTACATGTGGGTCCTGCCTGTTCTCCTCCCGGGAGTTTAATGACTAATAGGGCTGGTTTGCAGTACCCGTCTTTGCCAGTAGGTGCCACCAACATCTGGTTCTGGAATGCCTTAAGTCTGCATTTTTAGTTCAATGAAATGGCTTATTCCCAATATTGTGAATGATAAAGGTTTCCAGTGGGTCAGGCAAGGCTCATTTGCTGGTGGGGTCTGTCCCCGAGTGCAATAGGGCACTAGTGACAGCCAGGCCCATGCAGTGCTGGCTGAATCAGGGCAATGCTGGCTGAATCTGGCATGCAGGCCTCCTTTTTGCACCTTCCTTCCTGGGATGGAAGCGAGAGGGGGTGTGTGGGGCAGGCCTGAAGCTAATGGATAGAAATGGGCAAATGCTCCTGAGCAGGGGTGGGCACAGGGTGGCAGAGCCTCTGTGTTCCTGCTGCCTCTGAGCTGGCCTTGGACAGCTGCTGGGGGCAGCAGAGCTGTGTGCGATAGGAAGAGTGCCGGCTTTGGATGGGGTCAGGACTGACCCCAGTCCTGATGCTGCCGGGTGGTGGTGGCATCCTAAAACTCATGCCATGTCCCCCCAAGACGTAGGGTGCACAGGAGGCAGATGCCCGTGAGAGGCCTGGCCCAGAGGTTCCTCTTGCTTTAGCCTGGCACCCAGCGAGTGGGCCAGTGCCCTGGACACAGCTGCTTTGAGGCTCGGGGAAGTGAAGTCTTCCCGGGGCTGTGGAGGGGTGCAGCCAGGGGTGTCCCCTGACCTGCAGCATTTGGGCTCAGTCATAGCCACTCTGTGTGTTCATGGTCCTGCTCGACTCCTCAGAAGTGCCTGTGATTGCCGCAGGTCAAGGCACAGAGGGCCTGAGAGGCCATTCTGCAGATGGGAAGGCTGAGGCCCAGAGAGGGAGAGTGGCTTGCCCCATGTGCCCAGCCCGTCGGAGGCAGGGTGGGGGCAGGCAGGCAGTGCCTCCAGCTCCTGGCATGTGCTGCTGTCTGTGCTGCCTTGGTTGGGCTCTGACATTTCCCAGTGGTTTGCTCAGGCCCATGGGCAGTGGATTCGCCACCTAGGAGCCTCCTTTCTGCTGTGCCAGCCTCCGGGGTGCGGGGGGGCACCTCCTGACGCATGCTTGGGGCTTTGAAATCCGAGATGAAAGGCGGGAGTGTGGGAGGTCTCAGCCTCTCCTGTGGCCTCTGTGGGCTGCCCTCTTGCTCTTGGCACACACCCAGGCCTGGCGCAAAGCCACCCAGCAGCGTCCAGCCCACCACCCACACGGGAAGTGCCCCATTCCTCCCCTCTGGTCCCCTCAAACAGACCTCGGAGGGTGGAGCCAGGGGCCTGAGCGTCCGCTGCCCGGGCTAACACTGCTGTGGCACCTGAGCAGGCCCAGGCAGCGTGGCCTGCTGGTTAGGGCCACAGACATGGCAGTGGGTCCATAGGCGCTGCCAGTCCTGGCTTGGCCACAGGCAGCTCTGAGTACTTGGGGCCTGGCTTCCCGCATCTGTAAAATGGGAGAATCACAGTGCTCACTGCGGACCTCCCAGATCCACGAATTCACCCGCACTCAGCACTGACCAGGTCCTGGTACACAGCAGGTTCTCGGAGACACCAGCCTTTATGCCTTTCATGGTTATTCCCAGACCTTTACCTTGAGTCCCTGTGGAGATGGGCAGAGGGGCTGGCTGACTAGTCCCGCCCACCAGCCCCTCCTCCCTCTGCTTTCCCAGGTGGAAGGGCCTGCAGTGCTGAGGGTTGGAGCGACCCAGGCAGGCATCCTGGGGCTCACTCACAGCGGGTTCTTCCTGCGTCTGCCGCAGGCCCAGCCTAAAGCCAGGGTCAGGCGCAGAACTGTCTTGGAGGGGAGCTCCGGGCACGCCTGGCCCCTAGTGAGTGTGAGTTTGCGTCAGTGAGCTGTCGAGACCAACGGGGCCGCCTGAGGGTGCCTGGGTCTTCCGGTGGGTGCGTCTGTAGCTGGGGAGGCAGTGCCTGGTGAGGCCCAGTGTCACCTGCGCTGACCAGTCTCCTGTGGCTTCTTGTCTTGCAGATTTCTCCACCCAGGTGAACTCCTCCCTCACCTCCCCGACGGGGCGAGGCTCCATGGCTGCGCCCTCGCTGCACCCGTCCCTGGGGCCTGGCATCGGCTCCCCGGGGCAGCTGCACTCTCCCATCAGCACCCTGAGCTCCCCCATCAACGGCATGGGCCCGCCCTTCTCGGTCATCAGCTCCCCCATGGGCCCCCACTCCATGTCGGTGCCCACCACACCCACCCTGGGCTTCAGCACTGGCAGCCCCCAGGTGAGTGCGGGGCTGGGGCAAGGGGAGGGGGTGGGCCTGGGGGTGGGGCCAGGGGTGGGGCTGTGGCTTCAACTGCAGGGCAGCCACCTCATCTTGAGGCCTCTGGGAGGTAGGTGCTGTGGTCTCCCGGCTTGATGCAGAGTATACAGAGCCTCGGGGAGCAGCGTGCTGTGGGGATTTGAGCCCAGGTCGGGCTCACTGCTGAGCCTGGGCCTTTGGATCATCAGCCGAGGTGCCTTGCAGCTGGTTCTCTGCCCACGTGGCCCCCTCCCATGCTGGAGGACGCAGGACTCCTTGTTCCCATGACTGGGGGGCTCAGCAGAGAGGCTGTGGCCTCCCTCAGGCCTAAGCCTGCTTCCCCAGAAGCCTGTGGCCACACAGCCCGGGTCCTCCCCTGAAGTCTCTGCTCACACCCCGGCCAAAGGGCCCCCAGGGAAGGCGTGTTCGGGCTCAGGGCAGCTGCACCCCGCTTAGGGATGCTGGCCCTGGGACCTGCAGTGGCCGGGTGTGGCAGCGGTGCTCCGTGGTCTTGGCTCCCCCATGGCTCTGTGGGCGCCCGGCCGTCTGTGGGGTGTGGGGACCTTTTCCACAGTTGAAGTTGGCTCAGTCGCTTCTCTAGCTCAGCCTGGCCCTTTGGGCTGTTTCTGGATCAGGAAGGACTGGTGCCTGGCAGAGCCTGGCACAGTCCGGGTCTTGTCATGGGGAACTTGGAGACCTGGTCCGTGCTTCCCTTCTTGCTTCTTACCCCGAGTGCCTCTCGTGGAGTTGTGCCCAGCCCTGGGGTGTCCCGTCTGTGAGGGTGGAGGGCGAGGCTGGGTCTCCTCCCCTGGCTCCCGGTGGTTGCTTGTGGATTTCCACCTGGCCGGCCGGAACCTCCCGGACTCCCACTCGGTCCTCCCTCTCCAGGGGCTCCCCAGATGAGCAGGAGTGCTCCTTCCACTCTGAATTTCTGTGTTTGGGTTTCACCCTTTGTCCCTAGTAGCTGAAGGCTCCATGGCAGAGTTTTGGTGCCATCTCAGGACAGCCCACCAGGGTGGGACTCGCCCTAGCAGCTCCTCTGCCCACATCCAGCTGACAGTGCCACATGTGTCCTGTGGATTCCCAAGCCCCCTGCTGCCCTGCCTCTGTTTACCTAGGGCAGGCACTAGGCCCAAGGGATTGCACGTGAGGGGGCCAGGAGGCAGCAGATGGTCACCTAGCCCCAAGCCCCCATGCCGCTTCCCAGGTAGCCCAGGACCGTTCCTGGCCTCGGACTGGGCTGTGGTTGGGGTCTGGAGCCGGCCTACCGCCCATCCACTTGGGCCTGTTTAGAGCCAGCCTTGACCTCCCGAGCTCCTTTTCCCTGGAGAATCTTGCTGGCTTTCTGGGCCAACCCCATCAAAGCCCCTCTGCTCTGGGGGATGTGTGCAGAAGAACTGGGGCCTCTGTCCGTGTCCCTGTCATATCACCTGGCCTTCCGAAAGCAGGCAGCAGGCCCAAGGTGCTGGCACGAGGGAGGCCTGGTCGTGTTATTTTTAGCACACCAGCCCTGCCCCTGCTCTTGCCGGCGGCACGGTGCCCTGTGGCGAGAGGGTGATGAAGACTTGGCTTCCGCCTGTCCCTTGGCTCACTGGCCAGCACCTGCTGGGTCCCAGGGACCCAGGATGCCCCTTGCTAGGTCCTCCCAGGTCTGCCGCCTGCCCTGGACCCCAAGGGGTCTGTTGCACAGTAGGTTACCCCCTGCGGGTGGCAGTGGTGCTCCCAGAATTCTCAGGGGTGCCTGGTGTCCTCGGCACTGTTGAGCCCTTCTCGGGGAGGGGACGGCAGCACTAGGTTGAGGAGGTTTTTCAGCGCTGCTTCTGGGCCGTTCTCTGTTGTTTCCTGTGCAGCCAGCTCCTGGCACAAAGTAGGGGCTTGTTGAAGCCAAGTTGCTTGGGAGTGAGTGGTGCAGGTCCCCTTGACACTGGCGAGGGCCCCCGGGGTAGGTGTGGGTGAGGAGCAGACGCGGGTTGCCCCGGACGTTCCCTGCCCGGCTGCCGTTGGTGTCGGTCTGCCGTTGGGCTGTGTGTGGGTCTCACCCGCAGTTAGTTTGCCGTGGTCTGAGGCCCATGCTTGACTTGGCCCTGGTTCCCCAGACCCCATAGCTCCTTCCCTGGGGGTTGAGTCCAGCTTCGAGGCCTCAGCAGTTTGTCTTGGAACCCTGGGGTTCCTCACATTCATGGGAGTGTGAGGAAGGTTTCAGGAGGGATGTGCCCCCACTCCTAGCCCCAAAACCACAACCGCAAAGTCAGAGTCGCTGGAGTCAGAGAGATTCTCTGACTTCTGCTGCTGTTGGGGAGGGCCAGGCATTGTGCCAAGCACTGCCTCCTGCCTGCTCAAATCCATGGCAGGAAGGGCCTTCCACGTGGCCGGGTCCAGGCCACTTGACCCCTCCTGGCAGGGAGATAGGAGTCTGGGGGGGCTTGGGTAGAGCCAGGCCAGACCGCAGCTGCCTGGCCCCTGAGCTGTCCCAAGTCTCTTCCCTGGTCTGGAGGCTCTACCAGAGCAGGCCTGGGGGACATTCCCCACAGTGTCCCAGAGCCTGCCTGGCTGCAGCGGGCGCACCTGGGCACGTCGCAGGTATTGGTGGAGTGAGTCGGCGCCAGCTTCCACACAGAGCACTTCTGAGTGCCCAGCCTGGAGCTGGACTTGGTGTCAAGGCCTCTGAGCTCCAGCAAAGCCTCCTGGCAGCAGCGCCTGCCGGGGGCCTGTGGGGCTGTGATGGTGCACAGGGAGGGTGGACGCTGAGCGCGCTTCATGGGGTCGGAAGCAGGGCAGCACCGGCGCCCACCCACCAGGGACTGAGGTCAGAGGGGAGTGTGTGGAGGAGCTGGTTTGCTCCTGCCTTGTTGGACAGATGAGGCCCAGCAAGGCCCGTGGGCCTGCTCCTGGCGCAGAGTGGGCCTTCCCCAAGTCCGGGCTGGTGGAGAGACCCTGCAGGGGCTCAGGAAGGAAGGGTGTGGTGGGTGTGAGGAGAGAGCCAAGAGACGGGCAGGAGACCTGGGTGGGGCATTGAGGCGGCGGGAACTGAAATAAGTGCCAAGGATCTGAAAGGGGAAATGGGATGGCCCCCACCCTGGCCATGCATGGAGTCCTGAGGCTCCAGCAAAGCGACAATGAGGGCCTGGCTCTCTGGGGAGCTGGAGCAGGGAGTGTGGGAGGAGACCCTGGAGAGCTGGGGGGCTGTGGAGACCACTGGGGGAGGGACAGACCAAAGCAGACCCCGGGGGTGGCCCTCTGCTGCGCTCCAGGGGCTGTAAGCTAACTTGAGGCCCAGCAGCCTAGGGCTGGGAGGGTGGAAGAATGCGTGCCTGGCCTCCCCGTCCTGGCACAGTCTCGCTTCTGCAGCCTGGACCATCTTCCAGGTGAGCCCAGAGAGGCAAGGTGGGTGGCCTCAGGGCCTGCAGCCAGGATGGGCACCTCAGCCCGGGCTCTGCTCTTCTCAGACATGAGGGGGCTCACCGGGCCCTGGGCTCACTGGGCTAGCCAGAGCCTCTGATCTCCCTGAGGTCTAGGGGAGCCAGGGATGCACCCTGAGTTCAGCACGGGACCTGGCTTGGCCGTGACGCTGAGAGGGAGGGTGACCATCTGCCATTCTGTCCTGCCTGGAGTCCCTTTCCTGGCCAGGGCTGCTCTGGCGCTCCCTCAGTTTACCCAGGGCAGGTGCTAGGTGCAAGGGACTGCAGATGGGGGGCTGGGAGGCAGCACGTGGATCCCTACGCACCCTAGGTGTTTTGGGGCAGCCTAGAAGAGGAAGTGTGTGAGTTCCTTTGCTTTGTGCTTCTGAGCAACCTGGACCTGCAGTCATGGCCTGTACTCCCTCAGCCTCTGGCCCAAGGACCTCCTGCTCACATGCCTCGGTGCCTCCCCAGTGCTAGGGCACACAGCGAGGGTGCCCAACGCTTCCTGCTTGTGGATGCCTTTGCTGCCCCTGCTCTGACCTGATCCCGCCCTGGCTCTACCTACTTCTTTCCTTTTTTCCAACAAGCCCTTTGCTTCCCCACCTCTGAACACTGGCTTGGGGGTCCTTCTGCCTGGGACACCCCTTTCTTCCTCCCGGTCCCTGGCCTGTCTCCTCCAGGAGGCTGGAGTCCTCACTGTGGCCGCCGGCCTCCCTGTAAGACAGCGAGTTGTCTGCCAGCTCTGCTCTGAGCCCTGCCGTAGGGAGCGACTCAGTTACCTGCACATTGGCTCTGAGAGGCACTGGCCAGGCGCGGTGGCTCACGCCTGTAATCCCAGCACTTCGAGAGGCTGAGGTGGGAGGATTGCTTGAGCCTAGGAGTTGGAGACAAGCCTGGGCAACATAGTTGAGACCCCGCCACTATAAAAAAAAAAAAAAATAGCTGAGTGCAGTGGCATGCACTTGTAATCCCAGCTACTCAGGAGGATCGATTGGGCCCAGCAATCGAGGCTGCAGTGACTATGATTGTGCCACTGTACTCCAGCGTGGGCGACAGAGTGAGACCCTGTTTTGGAAAAAAAAAAAAAGAAAAGAAGTAGGCACTAACGTTGTTCCAGTTTTGCAGATGAGGAAACTCAGGCTTACAGTAATTAAATAATTTTCCCAGTGTGCCATGAGAACGGAGGAGGCAGGCAGAATCCGGAGCCAGGGATCCACCTCTGGGGCCTCCAGTGCCTCCAAGCGAGACAGCGACTAGACCAGCGAGCCCTGGAGGGCCGGGCAGGGCCTTGTCCGCTGGTGCCTCCCGGAGTCCAGCACGGGGCAGGGCCAGCTGGGCACTTAGTTTGGGCGAGCTCTGTCCCTCCAGGGGCTTCACTTTTGCCTTTTGCAGAGTGGGGGACCCTGTGTGACCTTGGCCAGCCCCTGACGTCCCTGAGCCACAGCCTCTGCATCTGGGGCCCCCAGGGTTTTCCATGCAGGGAGTGGCAAGTGTGGGTGCAAAGCCCAGGCACCGTGCCCCTCAGCAAACATCTGGAGCCTTCTCTTGCCCCTTCAGTTCCCTCCCTTCTCTGAGAAGCGCACCTGGTGCCTGTGGACGTGAACGCTGGGCATTTGGCGAGTCACACGGTGGCCACCCGGTTCTCCGGTGACTGGAGCCCCCACTGTGGCACCCCCACTGTGCTGAGTTGTCACGGGGGACCTCCTGGCCTCTTGCAGCCCACCTGAGGCCTGCGGGGACCAAGCATCCTCGCAAAACCTCACAGCCCACCTGGGCAGACCGAGGAAGAACTTAGAAGCCAGAACAAACTGGGGCTGGAAGACTCATTCCAGGCACCCAGGCCCGTGTGAAAGGAGGCTTTGGGGTGGTTTTTGCTTTGCTTGCATTGAGCCTCAAACTCTTCCTGTCCCGTGAGAAGGGGGGATGGGATTTTGGAGGCCTGAGGAAGGAAGGAGGGGAGCTTCCTGCGCACAAGCGGTGGCAGGGGTTTGCAGAAGTGGAGGCTGGGGGCTGCCTGGCCGAGCGCTCAGTGCTGTGCGCAGCCGGGCTGGCTGGCAGGATGCAGCGGGAAGCGCCTGTGGGTCCTCTGCACTGACTGCAGAGCTGGGTGGAGGCAGCGGAACCAAAACTGCTGTGTCACTGCACGCTGCAGCTGTTACCAGGGTGACCGGGTGAGTTTCCCACGCTTGCCCGGGCGGCAGCGTGCGGGCTGGCGGGTGGGGCGGAGGGGTGTGCGGAGAGGCCAGTGGTGTCGTGCCACCCGATGCCCGGGGGTGTCCACTCCCCTCTCCTGTGTCACGTGACCAGGACCCCTGCCCTGCGGTGTGGTGGGGTACATGTGTGGTTCTTGGAGGGTCCCCAGCCCTCCTCCGTCCTGGGGACTGGGCCTCGGCGTCCTCATCTGTGGGTTGGGACCCCCCACAGTGCCTGCCTCATGGAGTGTCCAGGGGCACCCAGCAGGGCTGGGCACTGCCAGGGGCTCAGTAATGAGAGGCAGCTCTCATTTAGGTGGGCAGTGGATGGGGGGTGCAAGCAGGGACCGCCCATGTGTTGGGGGGTCGCTGAGGGGTCCTTTGCCACAGAGGCCTGGGGTCTGCTGTGGGCGAGTCCTGAGATTGCTGCAGCCTCTGCTGGCCTCGCTCAGCACGCACAGTGGCCCCCCTGCTCCGGAGCAGCGTGGCGGGTGGGGGGCACGACCCTCTGTAGCCTCCGTGTCTGTGTGTGAAGTGGGGGGTACGGCTGCGCCATCCTTGCCGCAGGGCTCTGGGGGACGTACGGACGAACCTGGTGTGCACCCCACTGACCGCTGTGGTTGCCCCCCCAGCTCAGCTCACCCATGAACCCGGTCAGCAGCAGCGAGGACATCAAGCCCCCCCTGGGCCTCAATGGCGTCCTCAAGGTCCCCGCCCACCCCTCAGGAAACATGGCTTCCTTCACCAAGCACATCTGCGCCATCTGCGGGGACCGCTCCTCAGGTACTGCTGCGGTGGGGGCCGGTGGGACAGGGTTGTCAGGCCACTGCAGGGTCTGGAGGCCTCCCCAAGTCACCCTCCTGTGGGCCATGCAGGACCCAAGGCCAGGGTGCAGGGAGGCAGGCGCCTGGGCCATGGCCTACTCCCAGGGCTCCACGAGGCCATTCCAGGGTTCTCACGTCTGTGGGACAGCGTGTGTTGGGTGGGGTGGGGCACGGGGCCGCCTGAGGCTTCCGGAGAGGAGGTGGCTGCTGATGGCAGGGTCAGTGTGGGGGCAGCCAGCACCGTGCCTCCTCCCTTGGCTGGGTCTGGGCAAGGGGCCTGTGTTGTGCCACTGCCCCCCTCAGCCTGAGAGGCAAGAACGGGCTACACGGTGCAGACACAGAGCAGGTGACTTGCCAGGGGCTCTGGTCCCTGATGAGCTGGGATTTATCCCTGCCCCACTCCCCAGTTGTCCTCGGAGGAGCAGAGAGGGCAAGGCCGGGGCCCAGTCTGAGCCCAGGCCGGGGTCTGGAGACCAGCAGGTCCCTTCCTGAGGCCTGGCCCACCAGCTGGCAGTGGCGGCGTTGGATGTGGGGTGGGCTGCCTGCCGGCATGGTGGCTGCTCCCCAGCCCTGCCCTGCCCTGTCCCGCAGGCAAACACTACGGGGTGTACAGCTGCGAGGGGTGCAAGGGCTTCTTCAAGCGGACGGTGCGCAAGGACCTGACCTACACCTGCCGCGACAACAAGGACTGCCTGATTGACAAGCGGCAGCGGAACCGGTGCCAGTACTGCCGCTACCAGAAGTGCCTGGCCATGGGCATGAAGCGGGAAGGTAGGCCACGGCGTCGGGTGGGGGCACGGGCAGGTGTTGGACAAACAGTGGGGCCCGGGCCTACGCATGGACACCCAAGATGGACAACAGGGAGTGAGTGGCCTGGACAGAAGCACGGCAAGGCTGAGGCAGGAGTGGCGGCGGGGCCCGAAGCGTGGGCGCACATGGGCCCCGGGCGGCATTTTCTGGCTGGCGTTGGCTGTCTGGCGAGGGGATGGTCAAGGAGACCTTCAGGTGGTGCTGCTTAGGTTGGAGAGGTGGAGCGGGGGCGTCTTCTGAGCTGTTGGATGCCAGGGTTGGTTCCGGGCCGGCTTCCTCCCGAGGCCAACTCTGCTGCACCCCTGCAGGGCCGCCGGATGGCCCCCAGGCTCTTGGAGCAGTTCCTCCTTTCCTTGCATTTTTGTGCCGGTGTTACTAACAAATCTGTGTTGGGGGCGGTTTGCAGGGAAGGTCCCTCCCCCGATGTCACCACAATTGTCAAGTCAGACCTGGGTCAGAGTCCCGGGCCCAACAGGTGCTGTGACTTCCCAGCCCTGGCTTGCTGTGGACCTCAGTGTCTCCATCTGTCACATCCCCTTTCCTTCTCAGGTTTGGTGATTCCTGACCTCTGAGTGGGTCCCTGGGTCATGGTTTTCTCACGTGTTTGCGGGTGTGCCTCGATTCTTCCCATCGGGTCCCGTGCCCTGGGCTTTGTGGGGGTGGGAGGTGCTGTCTGGGGTGAAGATCTGCTGGTCTGTCCCCGTGCCCCCAGCTCTGCAGGACACCCTTCCTCTGTCCTCTGCCGTGCTGCTCCCAAGGCCCCACACCTGTGTGGCTGGTGTGTCTTACTTCCTCCCCGCCAGCCCGTGTTGGGGTCCCCAAGCAGGATCCAAGCCACTGTCTCACCATCAGGGATGTCCTGAGTGGCGGCCCTCGTGCTGCAGTTTCATTTCATCATCTCTTGTGTGTGCCGTCTCAGCCTTCACGGTCCTGTTGAGAAATCAGCGCCTCTGCCTGGCCCGGCACTGCCACAGGGTATCCTCCTTGGGCTGCGAGGCCGAGTTTGATGTACGGGCTGGCATGGGGTCCTTGTGCCCGCATAGCAGAGCTGCCTTCCAGGGCTGGCGTGGCCGTGCCCAGTGTTGCCAGTCAGGCCTTTCTGATGGGGATGCATGTTTCACAGAGTGCTGGCATGTGCTCAGGCCCACCCTTTGCTGTGCAGGCTGGGAAACCTAGGCCAGAGGGTTCAAGCCTTGCTCAGGGTCACATGCTGGGCTCTGGGTCCCATCTATACCTTGTTGCTTTCACCAGAGGGCAGAGGAGCGTGTGCCCAGCCTGGAGAGGTGTGTGCCCAG